CCCCCCCAACTCCCCCAAGTCCGAGGCCGTTTTCTGGGGCTTGTGCCGGGCTGGGCCGGGGAGGAAGGACAAAGGAAGGAAGCGCGGTCGGCCGCGGCCCTGTAATGTCCTGGCCGGGGAACGCCACCCCGCGAAGCAACCCGGCGCGGCGTGGCGCGGGCAGAGCAGAGCAGTCGGCGAGAACGGCCAGTTTTATCGCGGGGGGCGCTGGGTGCAATCATATCCCCTCGTTAACAGATTATAGTTTGCACAGCCGCCCGGCCTCGCCCGGCCTCGCCCGGCCTCGCCCGGCACGGCCACCTCACGAGGGCCGCAATTACGACCTCCTCGCCATCAACGAGGCCGCGAGCGCGGGGCCTCTGCCTCGCGGAGTGAGAGGGCGGCCGGGGCCGAGGTCGGGGAGGTGGGGAAAATAAAAACCAACCACAAAGTACGGCATATTCCCATTGAGACCGCATTGCGGCCGTATGCAGCCATACAGAACCAGTCGGTCGAATCGCACGAGCAGAGGGGGTGCACTCGTTGCGGTATCGAGGTATCGATCAACATCGCAATCAGCGGCTTCGAGAGCTCGCCCTTTTGCCTTTAGCCTGCGCAGATGTTCAGTGAAAATGATGGCGATATCAGCTGCCAGCTGCGGCTGGTCGACACCTGCTGCCCCTGCCTACCCTCGCGGGCAGATGGCCAGTCAACTCGATCGCGGGAGGCTCCAGCTGGCCGCCGGGCCGGGTCCAGCAGGCAGGCCGAGGCCCTGGCCGAGCGAGGGCCTGCGGACGGCCCGCTGGCTGGGCGAGTTCCTTTTACGAGTGGCCATTCGAGATTAGGAGCCAAACGGCTCGCCGGGCAAAATTAGGGCAGTGCGCCCTATCTCCGTTACGGTGCCGCGGGACGAGTCGGGCCCAGCCGAGTCGAGTCGAGCCGAGTCGAGCCGAGCCGAGACTGATAGGGCACAGTATGGTGCTGGGCCACCCTACGGAACCCTGTCCTCTGTCACCCATATTAGGTACACCCGTCCAATTTTTACTAAAGGGTAAATCACACACATTTGCTAGCAGGTTCTCGCTTTGCGCGAGAGAGCGCTTTCCTTAATAGAGTAAGCTGACTGCAACACAATCTTCAGTGTGATGGGACGGCGGTCCCGCGAGCGCCCAGCAGCCGCCGCGCCGCAATCGTCGCGAAAAAGGATTCGATCCCGCTGGCTGGTGCTGGTATGGAGGACGAGACGCCCTTGTGCAAAACTCACTCCCCCACTCGAGGGGGTGATTCCTCGGCAAATACCAGCGCGGATGTCACCGCGCCACACGGCGGGGCACTCCCGGGGCCACCTTGACGTCAGCGGCGGCGGGGCGGGCCCTTCTCGCGTTCGATAGTACAGAGGGCAGGGCAGGGCAGGGCAGGGCTGTTGGCGGCCCCGTGCCCTTTAGAGAGCAGGGCGCGCAGGGCCCACCGGCCCACCACGGCGTCCAGTAGTTACGTTGCACCACAACAGTGCGGCTCTGGCCTGCTGGGCCATTCACGGGGCATATAGGCCGTCACGTTGTGACGATGTGATCAAAACGGATCATGACCCCCCCCCCCTCACCTCCCCTAGCACCCGCCACCATTCCAGAGGCCAACACACACACAGCGAATGGAAATGAGCACGGCCCATGTATCGTGATTGTGGGGGCCGTTGTGCTTATTCACAAAACACACAGACACACACAGACGGACATAAACACTCAACCGAAGCACACACATGTCCACACATTACACAGCCTGCACAGTCTCTACCACTCACACACACACACTAAACCGCGTATATATACGCACACCGATGACATTTGTCGTGTCACGTGATGGCAAACGTGAGACGAGAGCGGGGACAAACAACAACTCTGTCGACGTGTGGTGCGGCCGGGGCGAGCCTGGGTGGGGTGGGGTGTGGCAGGGCCGAAATTACGTCTCGTCGCCGCCTAACCTTCAATGCATTCGGCGTTGTGGATTTGCATGAATTGCATGCGAGACCCAGCGTATCGCGTCCAAACTCGACAGTCAGATCGAACAATCCCGGAGTCTGCCCCCTACCCCCTCGTTTACGCACCC